TTAAATAAGCAGGGTGACAGTATACAGCCTTGTCGTACTCCTTTCCCTATTTTGAACCAACAGTTGCAGTTGACCATAACCTAAATGAGTCAGTTTGTGGCCATAAAAAGAAAAGCATTCAGTTTAGGCAGCATCGATAAAAATACAGTTTCCAGATCATAAGAAATAATAGTTCCAATGTGTTCTGCTTTAGTTGCATGTCTTCAGACTCCACCCTGAGCACTGGGCATCTTTCCAGGCATCACACTTTTATAAAGATTGAAAGAAACCTCCAGGTTCAGAGAAGGGCAACAAGAATGATTAGGGGATAGAAACTTAATCCTGTGAAGACAGATTAAAAGATAGTTAAGGGATAGGGTAGTACCTTCACATATTCTCAGCCTTTTGAGGTAGACCAGACTAGGAAACCAAAGTTATGAATGCTAATACTGCTTTTATTATAAGGTTACAGAATCTTGCAAGTGTAAATGCGCTCTCCCCCTTACCTTCATGAAAACTAAGCAGTCTTATCTGAGATGCTTTCTTAGGTGACGGCTCTGTCTCAGACTCAAATTTCTTTTGTCTGACGGTTGCCTTGGTTGCCGCTCTTCCTCCTGCTCCTCAAGGATGCTTTTACAGCCCATTAACATACCCAAAAGGATGTCACCCAGAAGGTCAAGACCTGTTCTGTGACTCTAGAGTGCTCTTTGGTATTTGACCGTACATTCAATAAAGAAATAACTTATTCACTAAATAATAGATTTAAGTTAAAGGAAGGCAAATTCTGGTTGAATTACTAGAAAAGACTTCCTAAGGGAAGAGGAGTTGGACAGTGGAGCCCACAACCCAGTGAGATGGCAGGCTCCCCAGTGGATAGCCTGGTGCACAGTGAAAAAGTGAGTCTGTTTCCTGCTGTTTCGGTATAGGGTTTCAACATCCCAGTGAGGCAATAAACCCAAGGTACAGCAGGAAGTGGAGCTATCGAAAGAAGACTCATGGAAGCCAAACTTCAACTAAATACTGCTGCACAAATGATAACATTGCATAAAGTCACTATCCAATGAGATCTTGTCTTGAGAAAGCTTTCTTTGACATTTGCTTTTTGAGTGGGAGACATGACTCATATTATCAGTTCTTACTCCTTTTAAAATCAGTTTTTTGGGGAGGGGGTCAGTTTCTTTGTTTACCTTTGTGGTCCTGTGCCACCCTGGCAGGAATTTGGCATGCTAAGGACATCCAAGATGAATGCTTGGTCCTCCTCCTCCTCCTCTCAAATCCAAGTTATATCCAATGGTATATCCAAGTTATATCCAATGGTAATTTCAACAGTTACCCAGGGGTAGATAAATTGCTGCTTTCCCTTTCTCCTTTGGCCTTTGGCAAAGAAAATAAGTTGTGCCTGACTCACAGATCTGTGAAAAAATAAGTCAAAGGAGATGGAGGATATTTACCTTCTGTAGCCAGCCATTTATGCCTCTAAGAATAATTGATTATTTAAAGTGTTTATTTTCAACTTCAGCCAAAACAGTTTCCTGATGGCTTATATAAGACAGCCAGTTTGATATAGTGGTTAAGGTGCTGGGAGGTCACAAGTCCTCCCTTAGGCATGGAAGCCAGCTGGGTGATTTTGGGATGGTCCTCTCTCTCAGCCCAACCCACCTCACAAGGTGGTGGTTTTAGGGAAAATAGGTGGGAGCAGTACATGCATCATCTTGCATTGTACAAAATAAAGGGATATCTAATAACAATAAATTTAAAAAATAAGATCAGTAATAAATATACAAATACCTGTCTACAGGCTTTTTGTGTCAAAAAATACAAGATAAAAGGAAAAGGAATGAGGGAAGGAAGAGGACAAAGACTTCTTAAAAGAATATACTGCTGGACTAGAAACAATTGAGAGAGAGAAGATGCCCAGTGGAGCTGATTATTCAGCTGAATGCATGAAGTGGTCCTACTTCCTGTTTTCATACCCTCTGCCTCCAAACTCACTCTGCCTTGTTCCAGCAAGACCCAGAAAACAACAGGGAGCTGTCCCTGGAGTTCCCCATGTATAACACTGAGCTCCCTTTCACCAAGAAGAAACCCTGCCTCTTAAGGTGATCACAACTAAAAGTGTGTCTGGCTGCTAATGTTCATGTGTACTTTTTAAAATGGGAGGAGATAATGTAACAGGGAGCTTTTCTAACCTTTTTTTCTTAATGTTCTAGTTGCCTACTTGACAGCCATGATCCGCACTCTCAAAGAACATCTGCATATTCACCCCAAGGTATTAGTTTTCAAAACATTTAATCTGCATTTGATTGTTTGTTGTGTAACCTCTATAAACTGTGTCTCCTAACTCAGCAGATGGCAGGAATTGGATTTCTGGGCAGTCCTTATTGTTGGATGCAGGTAACTTCAGATGTACTGTAAAGTGGTATCAGTATTGCTCTTCAAATGAACCTTGCAAAATTCAGCATATATGTATACCCATCACACTATTCTTTTCTTGTGGAGTAAGATGACATTATTTAAGAGAGCCGGATGCACGAGAGAAGGGGGGAAAGCTAAAACTACTTTATGCCAACACTAATTGCTATATCTCACCACTTCGTTCTATCCTTGCAAACCATCCTTGCTTCCATCATGTCCATCCACCATTTTGTACATTGTCTTTTCATTGTTAAACTTCTGAGCTTTTCTTTTCTAAGGATTTCATAAACTCCATCCAGCCATGACTTGCTCAGTCTTCCCTTTTCTCTCAACCCATTCACTCTTCCTTCATATATATTCTGTCTGTCTGTCTGTCTATCACATTTATATAGCTGCCCATCTCATACAAAGCAAGTCTGGGTGGCATACAACAATTAAAAACAGACATTATAGAAAGATAAAAGATTATTAAAATAAAACATCACAATTTTTTTTTAAATTAG